TGAACTTTCTCAACGAATCCTTCTTAACTACCCTCTCATATTTAATTCGTATCAGTGACGATCTAATTAGTGAACTCAGATTATTGTGCACACGAGAGTTATAAATCGACGAGGACGAATCCGACGCCAAGTCCAGGACAGTGGGAAGTCTGAGGGTCACGCACACCGACCAACCGCATGCCGCACTGGAGGAAACCTCACCGTAAAGGTAGGATATTTTTACTTTATTACATTTCGGTCACCGCGGATCGTGAATCCTGTTTGCGCGTAGTATATGTCCGGTGCATCCACGTTCGCGCCCGTCTAACGGCACTCGTTTGTTGCGACATTACATCCATTTAGGGTTTTCCGACTCGAAATCTGCAACGAATGTTCCATGTCGCTGGCCATCGTACGTAATTTCACGGGTTGCCGCGATTGCCCTAAAGTTTTGGAGGAGTTTCTCAATTACTTAAACAGGACGAGGGATACACCTTGGACCTCCCTAAAATCGACTATTATCGTCGTGTCGAGCGCGCAAATCTAGCTGAAAATTCAAACTCTTAAATTGAACAGATTTTAATTCCGCGCCGATGTCAAACTGTACGCCTTGCACCCGCCGATAATTCCAGGTCTGTTCGGATTCCAGCCACTCGCCGATCGAATCCTGGGATGTAACATTTGACATTATATCCCAGAGTTCTGATTGGACGGCTCGTTATTCTCTGTTGCCTTGTGTTTAAACCTTTAGTCTTAGATCACATGATTCACCATCACACATGTTGTAAAGTGTACACAGTAGGTGCTTTCCAATCGCAATGTCCCTAGACACTTTCGTGCACTCGGCGACACAAGTTGTGTTTAAGTCGGTGTGACAGATTTCCTAACCACACAATGTCGGCAACTTTAACGCATAATATCTCGGTTTGCGGGCCTAGGCATTTTATTGCCAGATTCTTTCGTTTCATGCGACAAATGAGTATAATTTTATTAAAATTGAGGTGAGGGGCGTCTTCTAAATAATTATCCAAGATTATGAGTATTAAAAAGATAAATATATATAAATAATAGCAAGCCTACATATAAAAACATTTTGTGTTATCATTATCTTTAATTAAGAAATTTTTAAATAAAATTGCACTCATTTTAATCACACAAATCTAATACTTCCATGTAAACAATATGAGACGCCATTTTTATTTTGCACTAAAACGTTTTTAATTCCTTGCCTGTATGCTTACTTGCCAGTTCTGGAATGCACTAGTTCAATTCAGTGCAATCCTCGCGCAAGAACAGAAAACAAACTTTGCTCCACTGTGTAAAATACTTGTTGGAACGCAGTTTAGTTTTATAGTGTAACACCAGAATGCATTGCAATCTTCCATTCTACTTTTATAATTATATTTAGCGTATCAATAATAGATTTATGATTTTTATTTGGCGATTTTTGAAGGTTTTATTGCAAAATAAATACGGCTATCAAATAACTTTTTGAAAAGTTGGTAACATTGACATATTTTTGACACGTTTTAGCTTTTTACTGTGGTACTTAGGGCCACTTTCATTAGGCTCCGATTAATTTAACAGGCCCAGTAACTTTACAGGATTCCAACTGAAGCTGATGTCCGAGAAAAAATACAAAGAGAGAAGTTATAAATATAGATTGATCTGTAATATTAACTTATGTAGCAAAATTTCTCTTTGATAATTGTTTGTGAATAACCTATTTTTGTGTTTAATATAGTATGTAAAATTACAGTTAATTATAATTAGTGAAATATATTTAACTCTTCAGTTCATTTTACATTTTTTTCTCCGACATCAGCTTCAGTTGGAATCCTGCAAAGTTACTAGGCCCGTTAAGTTAATCAGAACTTAGTAAAAGTAGCTCTTAGCTTTTTATAGTGGTGTAGTTGTAAGAATTGACCAATTATAGTCAAATATTCTTCTCACATTTGATTGATAAATTCTTACAACTATAATCATTTACAACTACGCTTACGACTATTGTAGAATAGGCTTTTAGACCGGCGTTCCACAAGCGGAAATTTACAGCGGAACGGAACGGCAAAACCAACCACAATCGCAGAAAAGAAAGCAGAGTAATGACTACAAAATTGTAATTGGTTACGCTGTTCCGTTCCATTGTAAATTGCCGCGTCATGGGATACGAGCCTTACCAAGCTCCGGTTAGTTTAACCATTCTAGTAACTTTGCAGGATTCCAACTGAAACAGATGTCGGAGACGTCCTTCGACATCACTTTAGTTAAAATCCTGCAAAATTACTAGAATGGTTAAGTTAACCCACAGTGTAAGAATAAAGCTAGTCACAGTAAGATTTGTGACCAATCGCTTTGCTTAATTGTTACGGTTACGATTACGAACAACCGAATCGAGCAATGCAATTAGTCGAAAACCTATATTACGTTTACAGTTACTGTTATGGAAAGTGACTAGCTTAATAGGTTTCTTTCGCCCATTTTTGCCTAGAACTGTGACAAAATTGAGGCAGTTCAGACACGTAACACTAAAGGACATAATGGTTTGATATCTAACCTTTACCTACATCGATTTATATATCAGTATAAATATTAGTATAAATTTTATGACCGAGCGGTCAAGCCTGGAAAATTGCTGAACCATGCTAAACTAAACCTGATATTTGAAAAAAAAACCGAATTACTTTGACAGTATTGGCACTTATTCTACAATACTAAATCTTTATTTTCTTATCTATTTATATTAGTTACATACCGACATGTGTCTTTAATTTTAGAATGTTGACAAAAATCTCGATGTTTATTTAACAAACAATAATTCATTCATATTGTACAATGTAAAACTATTAATGTACTAATAAATGTATTAGTGTACATTTCCATCGTCTCGTAATGTTTGCAAGATAATAACTAAACAATACAAATGCAAATGGAAAATACATATCTGTTAAAAACTCATCTTTCATATTTATTTATTTAATTTACAATAAAAAAAATGAAAATAAAATAAAAAACGAAAAATTTACTTATATATATATATAATTTTATATAATTATGTATAAAATATTTTTTCCCGGGGCTTATGAGATCAAATGTTATACATATACGCCATCTGTTGTTCAACTGCGAAGTTTCGTTAGGAAAATTACACCATGATTTTGACCATACTTTTTAAAGTCTAGTTCGATCCCCTGTTCTCTATCCTCCATGAATTCTATAATCAGAGTTTGGCGAAAGTAGGCATATCTTCCAATTGAATAAAAAGAATTCATAGGTTCTAAAGAATAAATCACAGAAAAATGATGCCTATGTGAACCAAGCACTAGATGTTTGCGTGCAAATTATTTATTATTTAATACAAAATGTACAGATATTTCGATCCTAACGTGGATCCTTCTTAATAACTCAATCAACTTAAATTAATATATCAATAAAGAACGTTAATAATAAACTAACATAATACAATTATAAATCGAATAAAGCGACTTGTAGCTGTATGTTTTGCTGCAGTAAGAAATTGTAAAGTTCAAGAGTATTTTCAAAACAGTTACCAAATTAACTGCATCAAATTATAAAATTAGAAATAAAACGGAACATACAAGATAAATAAAAAATAAATAATTAGACTTGCATGATAAAACGCCAAGACGTATCAAAGGAAAAGTACATTCTGTTTTTCGTAACCATATAAACGACGCAGCCAAAACTAAACAATATATGTATAAATATAACAATAAGTTGAACATAAATGAAACAGAATTATATAATACATAATAACTAAAAA